TATATTATTATAAAGTTCAGTGCTTACTCAGTGAAGCTGCTGATCAATAAAAGGCCATCGTGGAATGACTGTATTTTTTTATGCTGAAATTTGTTCCTTTAAAAGGGAACATGTTCTTTCTCACTTACTCTACCTGGAGGCAACACATTGTTACTTGACCCATTTTCCAGATGTACACTCCCCTTACTTTCTGTACACATACTGTACATGATTTACAACTATTGGAGCAGGGAGCATGTGTTGCGATCACACTAGTTTACTCAAAGTTGATGAGGCGTGAGAAACCCATGCGTCAATATATTGAGCTTCTTTTGTTTAATATGGTTTGTTTGCCTCCCACAACTACACCAGCCTTGACAGAATGGGCTGAAGTTTCAATCAAAATCAAAACATCATTGATTTTCTTTGCTGGGTGTAATTACTGTGATACTCATACTCATTTTAGATATAGATCACATGCTCCATAGAACATATGGACTTATCTATTTACAGTATGTTAAACACACCACTATCATCAGAATGGATTTTTCCTTTTTTCCTTATTTCCTCCCTTAACACTAACTAGCATTGATGTTATAAGATACTGACATTATAACATTTTGTTTTTCCCTGGTCTTTATATACTTTGTATCGTTCTTATTTTCCTCTCCAAGGTGGATGCCAGTAGTGTGCTTAAGAAGAGGATGAACTCCACCCCGATGTTTGAGCGCCCTGCCAAGACATTTCCCAACCCACCGGTCAATGCCCAAGCATTCCTCCAGCAAGGTTCGGCTGTACCGGCCAACAATGTTCTGACTGGCACCAGCATCATCGACAAATACTCACGCATCCTTTTCCCCCTTTCGTTTGGCGCCTTCAACCTGGTCTACTGGATTGTCTATCTTACCAAGGACACAATGGAGATGTCCAGGTGAACAGATGGCATGTTGTTACAAATGATTCCAGCATTTGTTTTTATGTGTTTGTAGAGAGACAACAGACAGATTTTAGGATGACTACTGCCTTGCTGAATATAACTGAATGGGTTTTTTTCCCCCCACTCGGCCATGAAAGCCTGATGGGATATTGTCGGCAACCTGCTGGGTGGGTGGGTGGGCGGGCAGGCGGCGTCGACACCCAAATTTGTGAATGCAATAACTTGAGAACAACGCAACATAGTAGTATCAAATTAGCACCATTGGTACATCTACTAAAATCTCACACAAGTTTGAATCTCACAGATCTCAGCCTCAAGGTCAAGGTCAGAGGTCAAGCATTAACTTGACTACTACGAAACAAATGTACGGCTTCTGTACTTATATAAGATATAATGATATATGGAATGTTCATCAAATTATTGACATATGAACAAGAAAATTATTTGCACTTTACATTACTGCTTGGTAACAGTGTGGTAATAATAGAGTAATAAGGTGGAAATGACAAGGTAATAATATGGAAATAGGAGTTTACTATGACTTAAATACAAATTAATATCAAAGTAATAACTAAGTAATATCATGCATAATCAGCAGCTTTAGCTGAGTAATAGAGTAATAGTAATAGCTGAGTAATAATAATATTGGGTGAGAAGGTGGAGTCTGAAGGAGCAGTGAGGACGTTAGATGGGAAACTGCAGGTTTAGTTATTTTGCTACTTTCATATTAATACCACACTACCACAGTATTACCAAACTGTAATAGAAAGTCTTTTCTCTGTCAAGTTTGCATGCTGAGGTTCTCACACGCAGTTGGTGTTAGTCTTTTCATCAGTTACAATTACCTACTTTGATTCCAGATCTTCATAATAAACTTGAAGAGTCAATATGTGGTAAATTTTAAAAGACGCAAAACATGCTTTTTGCTCAAAAAAGGCTCATAAGGTTCCACAATATGACTGTGTAATCTGGTTTATGTCCCCACAACAATAATACAATACACATACATGCATACACATTTCTCACAAACAAGAAAAATGTGAGAGTTTTGGATGAAAAGAAAGGCAGTATGCTGATTATGTGGGCAGGTGGTTCTGGAAGTTTACATTTTGCTAAGTCTCCAAGTGTGTGAGAAATAGCTTATATTGTCTTCCTTATTGGTGGATTTTGTTGCGCTTAGGGACCTTTGGCTATTGAGCAAAATATAACTGAAAATATACCCATCTGTGTTCTAAAGTTTGTCTGCTGTGTGTGTGTGTACTTGTGTGTTTGTATATCAATGGGTCTCTGTGTGTAAGAGATAAAGGAAGTTAGAGACAGAGAGAGAAAACAGAATATGGGAATGTGAAGTATTCATTATATATATTGTTTTACATTTTTTTCTTTCTTCATTGTGCATTTGCTATTCTGGAAGGGCATATATTATTCATCAAATACACAAAGATCTTTCAACTTACAGAGAATTTTTCCAATATGACTTTTTCCAAACGTGTTAGAGACTGGTCACGGGGTTGATACTGAACGGACTGCATTATTTACAGGTTTTATGAGTATGTACTTTCAATACATAATGAATTCTTGCCCAAATAGGATGAACATGCAATTATCTTCTGTTTCTCTTAGCAACATTACTAAAAATATATCTCCTAGCCATCATTTGCCATGCATAGATTGCACTTGTAAACAGGCATAATAGCTGTGTGCAAAGCTTTAATGAGCCATGCCTGTCCAAGCCAGAGAAAATAAAGAAAACATAATCAATGTATAATTGCTTGACCTCTTTATAAAGTCATAATTCTCTTATATTTGGGCTAATGTGGTACAAAACTGTGCAATATCTGTAATGGCCAGCAGAGGCTGGCTCTCCTATCTTAAAACAAGTCAAAGTGTAGAGAAGACTAGGATAAAAGTAGCCTAATTCACGCATAATTTATTGTCTCAGTCAACATTTCACTAATGACTTAATGGTCTCATTTGGGAATTTCAAGTCATATTGAATGCAAAATTAACTTTATGTTGAATCTGCAGTCACATTAAGTGAAATATATGGTAAAAAGGGACCGCTTGCTCTCTTTATAATTGGCAACTTCATTAATCTACCAGAAAACAAACCTTCTACTCACTTGATCTGTGACCTCAGTAAACACTTTCCTGATAGGTTTATTATCTCAAATGCTAATTTAATGTCTTATTAAAACTTTAATTTATAGTCTAATGAAAATTTAAAGTTTGTTATTGAATCATGCTAACTTTTTTAATCAATCCACTTTTTAACCTCCTAAGACCCGAACTCTTCCACTGCATGGATTTTTAATTTCTCTTTGATATTTGGACATATTGGGGCCCGATGAATGTAAAAACAAAGATTTACCAGATTTTTGTTTTTTGCCTTATTTTTGTTTTTAAGAAAAATGAGAGCCACATATGAGCATATTCGTTTAAAATTTTCATAGAACAGTAGCAGTATAATGTCCTCGTAAGTAGATATCAGGACCTTGTAGAGCAAAATTCAGTATTTTGGTCTAAATAACCCAAAATGTGATTTCCACATATGTGGACACCAGGTCCTGATCAGACACACACTCTGTATGATGATCTTTTCTTTGCTGTTTGCTAACTAAGCTCCCACTAATATTTAGTTTTTTAAAATTTTCGTTCAAATTTTCATACAAAATGTGATCTCAAAGAAATCCTTTAGCTTTTTGTCAAACATCAGGATTTCTACATATTGAATTCAGCGAAGGCGACAGCTTTCAAACAATACACCTTAAGCTTACACTAAATCAGTTTAGTAAACAGCATCAAATCATATATAGGATGTGACTTGAAACAGCAACTTGAGAGGCTAATACTCACAACAGACTATATTATGAATACTTATAGTACAACACAGTAAACTAAATCTGAATCTATTTTTCTGTTTTTTCAGGTGCTGTCTTTTAAATTGTATACTGCACATAACTTACAGTTATTGCTGATATACACAGCAGTCGTGCTGCGTCTTGGCTTTGTTATTGCTAAAGCACAAATAGCGCTATGGTTCTTTTGATGACATCATGAGATGCATTGTGCTCTCTTATATTACATCTATAGCTCCCGTATGACACTTTGATAGGATGTTGAGATTTATACTAGTTAGAGATAAAAAGGCTCACTTTATTGTGTATGTGTGCAACTTAGTGTGCTTGATTTGTCCCGGCCATATGCTCTAAACAAATGTGTCTGCCTGGTTGTGCATTTATGTTCACACTATCGATATGCACACTATCAATGTGCATCAACACTTCTGACTCTGGGGCTTTTCAACTGTGTGGGTTCAGCTCCTTTTATTCTCCTTTCTTGCTCTTTCTCTAAAAAGAGAAAAGCCCCTGGCATGAGCTGAGACAAGTCAGATGACATGACAGTGTTGGAAGGGATCAGGATAGCTGTGTGTGACTAACCCGCTTAGTGACACTCTCCTAACTGTTTCTGTTAATTGATAGGAACTGCAAGCTTGAAAGGAGATCCTGACAAACGTCCTGTAGAAAAATTGCAGAGTGACAGCATTTCAGCTCTGGGAATCAGGAGCAATTAAAAATAAGAAAATGGCATATAATAAAGTATGCATGTGTTTCTTTTGGAATTCATGTGCATATGTCACAGAGGAATTTCTTCACATACAGTGCATTTAAGTGTGACTGAGAAAGTGCAGTGAGTGGGGAGGATTGATGAAAGGCAAGAAGGAGGTGATACAATACACAGAGCCCCAGGGCTAATAACTGAAACCCCCAGTGGTCTTAGAAGCAGCTAGTGCAAAGAACAAGTATAACCACAGGTTGTCATTCTGATCGATAACGGCTACATGACTGTAAGAGTTGAATCGTCTAACATCGACAAAAACTGCCACTGAACACGCTTGCTGCAGGTGGTGTTGTAGAGATGGTTCTTATATTCATCCTGAGAAAGATCAGAAGGTCTTCTCCAATACAGAACATCTCATGTCTGAAATCCTACTTGCGAACTTGGCAAGTCAGCAGAAGACAACAACCGCAAACAGACCCTTTTTGGGGAAAATAATCTTATTGACAGTGATATGCTGCGAAGAGATGCACCTGTTAAAATGTTATCCATTTTTTCAGCAGTAGATATTACATCTTTGGAACAAAATTACTTCTTTTCAAATCACAGTGGGTCTCAGAGGCAGCAATAAGTTACTATCGGGCTTGGCAAGGGAATAGAGTTCCTGGCAGGATGATCAGAAGTTTTTGTGTGCTCGTCATGTCAGGAGCTGGGCAGTTATCTGCTGAGATGACTCTAAAAAGTAACAGTACTGCACCTCAATCCATTCCATGAAAATAGACAAGTGCAGAGAAAAACTCACAACGCTTTTGTTGACATAATGATGATTTCTAAAACACTAAAAACAGTCATAAAACATTTCTTGGCATGCATTTTGTTATTATGAAATATACATAATTGCTTGATAATTCACTTTTGGCATCTTGCCAACAGACTCACCCAAATGATAACCTTTACAAGTAAAATCACACTGAAATTTGCTGCCAATCTTTATGCCACATGGAGGTAAACATGAATAAAGAGGTTATAAAGCTGCCAATAGTTGACTTTTCTCCATAAATAAACAGTTTGGTATTGTAAAGTTCACCCTTTCCTCAATTAAACATGCTGATTATCAGCATGAATGAAGAGAACCATATCAACGTGGGTGAGAACCTGAATGGTGAATTGCATTTTTACCTAATTTGCTTGTTGCCTGGGATAATTGAGATATATTTGGCTGATATTTTGAGTTGTGGCTAAAGTGGTGCAAACACTGCCTAAAATTATAAGTTAAATTACAGTTAAAATAGCGGGAGCGCTATAGATTATGACTGAAACACGGTCCACTGCACAATACTTTCACAGTTAACACTTTACATTTCTTTGCTCTTGTGTGCAGCACCACCTACACTAGTAACCTCTTGATTCTCAGTAAGACCCACATGAATCCAAATATTTTATCCATTAAATGAAAGTGAGCAGCTCTTTTCATTTCAGAGAAATAAATATACAACTCCAGCGGCCCTAACTGAAAGCAGATAGCTGTGCAAGCAACAGACCCTTTTTCTCTCTTTGTGTCTTTGCTTTTTTATTGAAGGGCCTCCTGCAAAGATGAGGTGAACCAAAAGAAAAGATTTTGGTCTGCTGTGAGTGTATATGCAGGTGGATTTGTGTGCAAGTGTGTGTCTACTTCAGTGAGGATACAGGCATACAAGTGTATAAATGTGCCGTGGCAGCAGTGCCTACCGACTGCAGGCTATTTTAATGAATAGCACCATTCAGGGCGAGACATGAAGGAAACAAATTTGCTGAAAACACTTCCTTCCGTGAAGGGCCCCAGCTGGTTGGTTGACTGGTTGCTGGCTGCCTAGCAGGCTAAATGGTGTATGTGTGTCAGAGTGGGTACAGCAGGCGATAAGCCTTGCTCCTCTTTATTGGCCATCAGAGTTCCAGGCTTGAAAAAACAACTTCCCTATTGTTGCTCATAAATCAAAACCACTAAATGCTCTTTCAAACTCAATTCCTATTTTCGACTGCAGGGCCATAGCCATAGCTTTGGTGTAATGATCATTCAATTACAGGCCACTCATACAGGGAGTAGAGAAGACCGATATAAACAGTGATCCCCTATCTATCATTTTTCTCTCCTGGGTCTTGTGAGAACTGTTTACATCTGCCTTTGTCTGTCAGGCGTTTATCACACATCTACCTTTGTTTGCATGGAAGCCTGTGTGCACACTCATGCAGAAAAAAAACACAAGCATTTACAAATCTTAATAGGATAATTTGTTATCAAACAAGAAATCTGTTCTCTTTTTTCTTTTTTTCGCATCGTCTATCACCCCTTGCTCCCATTTGCTTTTTCTATTTCTTACTCTATCTAGTGTCACTCTTTTAAACGCTTCCTTTCTCAGTCACCATCTCTCCACTATATTACCACATCTTCCACTCTGCCATGGTGCACAGTCTGCAGTCTGAATCTTCCTTGATAAAACGGGACAGCCTGACAGGCTAAGCAGAGTGCTGTCCCTCTACCTCATTTTCTCAGCATTAATCACCCAGGCTTTCAACTGCAAAGAAGAGACTTGTCTCTGTGGGACTCTCCCAGTGCTTTGCTGATCAGTCCTCTTTAGCAACTGTACAGATGCAAATTTGTCATTTGGTTAGTTGAACAAATGCAGTTAATAAGGAAAGGCAGCCTTGTTTTAAGATAAATGGTGCTGTTACCAAAAGGTCACAAGTTCACTTCCTTTAAGAGCCTGTCTGCAGTTCTTTGACCTGTCAGTGCACCCTAGAACAAGACTGATGATTCATTTCAAGTCAGACTCTTTGAATCTTTTTCTTAAAGACATACGAATTGTTTTGACAGTAAAATATTGTGAGAATGGAATGACAAATGTCGTAGCAAATGTCACATATATAATTTCTGTCACCTGGACACATGTATATTGCAAATTGTTTTGTTTAATCTATGCAGTGTTCCCAGGGGTCGCCAAATGGGCTTTGCCAAGTGGAGGTAGTGTAGGTAAGGGGGCAAAAGGGGGAAAAAGACTCATTTACAACTAAGTCTTACAATAATTTTGTAGGGTATATTCATATAAATGTTGCTCCTTCTTTAGGTTTTCCTTTGCTCTTTGTCGTACATGCTACATAGTATATGCAGGAGTTACGTGAAATATTGTATTATGGCTGCTTTCCAAAACCTAGCCTTTGTAAACATGGAAATTGAGAAGAGTTGCTAAAGAAATTCAAATTCAGCTCGACCTCATCTCGAAACAAGTCCTGTTACTTAGCAACGACAATGAATCAAATTTGGGGCAGTTATTTTAGTAATTATTTTGAAACATTATCAAAATTACCCTTCATTTCAATGGTCAGGGGACCATAAAAACTGCATGTACAAAATATCCAAATCCAATCGAATATACTTAAATATTTGTTGACTTTGCCCATAAATAAGACTTTTTTTTTCACTTTTTCCAGCATATTTGCTGTTATAAAATCTCCCATGAATTTCATTTTTAGAAATTGTTTGAGTTTCATGTCTATCTTTCTTATGATGCCACTGCTGCTAGCTCAACCCAACAGTTGTGTAGCAAAGAGTCTGCCTACTGTACAATGTGCCCAATAAGTCTATTGCACCCTGCCCAGTTTGGCCGGCACCTGGTATCCTCCTTGACTTTAAATAAGATGAATTTCAATCATCATTTAATTTGTTGTCAAAGAGATTTCATTATATGAATTGCCAACTTTAGCCATAAATCATATAGAGATCCACTGAAAGCTAATATGAATTAGTCCTAAGCCTTAAATTTCCAGCTTACCAAATGTCACATGCTGAGCAGCACTTACATTTGAAAGTAATCTCTCAGTGTCCTCTCTTTGTTGCATTTTTCTCCACCTAAAGTGGGACGTTTTAAAACATCTTTGTTCTTCCTGGAAAATACGTGAACTGTGCACATCTAGCTAGCACACAGATTCTGTGCCAAACTGCACAGAGAACCTGTTTGTCACTGGTGATGTTTGTTGAACTGCTAGAAAGGTTTCATTTGAGATTACCCATAAAAAAGTTATTTTGTAGTGCTAGCTAGATGCTGAAGTACTGCTGGTGCAACATTATTGATATCTGCATACTTGTTATTAATCTCTGGCTGTCTTCACCAGCATGTCTTTTATACTGTCTTCCTTCTCTTACCCCAACCGGTCGTGGAAGATGGCCACCCCTCCCTGAGCCTGGTTCTGCTGGAGGTTTCTTCCTGTTAAAAGGGAGTTTTTCCTTCTCACTGTCGCCAAAGTGCTTGCCCATAGCGGGTCATTTCATTGTTGGGTTCCTCTCTGTTTGTATTATTGTAGGGTCTACCTTATAATATAAAACGCATTGAGGCGACTGTTGAATTCGATTGAATGCATAACAGGAATGAATCAATGGTGGAGAAGGGGCTGCAGTAGGTAGGGTAGGGTCAAGTGGTGAATTAACTGTAGCATCAGCTGGAAAGATGGAGTTAGTAAGTTAGGCAGTTTCATACAAAATACTAACTATCAGATTTATTTAGTCATTGAATCGAAGATTCTGTAATGCTATTCTAGATCATTCCAGCCCTCTTAAACCCCAGAGTGTACCAATAATACAAGGCAGTGACAATAAATTATAACAAATCAGTATACAATGGTACATTTGTTGTCATACTCCACTGTGTTTTACTTTTGACTGGAATGACACTATGATTAAACACTTATGTCTACTGGATTTACAAATGCTAAATGCCTATTTTTAATCTGTCTCAGCATATCACAGTTAAAACTTGATGATATAAAGGATGAAGTTAAAAGACACAAAAAATACATTTGCATACTGAAACTATTAAAGATTTTGTTTTCATTTTTGTATTGCAGTGAATTCTAACTAAAAACACACAGAAAACCTCCAACTTTTGCCAGCAGGCATGTAAAGTTCTCTGGCTAAAAATGGCTCTCAGTGCTGTCAAAAGTGTCACTGGCTTCAACACATAAGGCAGAGATGGTAAAGATGTAAACTACCTAGCTAAGTTTTCCAGATGGGTTTCACAAAGTCTTTCAGGAGAACAGTGGCAGTGAGACACTGAATAATTTCAGATTAATTTTACCTTTAAATTCAGTCTGGAATGGTGTTCAGGCAGATATGGACAGATGCAGATTTGAATAGGTATGCATGTGTAGGTTTCTGTAAGCATATATTAGTTTAGTTGAATGTGTTAAAATCCATTCTTCATGATCATGATGCTTTCTATTTTATTTTAAATAATTTTTACTAATTCAACATTTTCTTCTCTGATTTTTGTCTTACAGGGATACCATCTAGGCCTAGTGTTTGTTCTTCTGGATGGCACACACACACTTACATGCATACATTTACATTTATATGTATCAGCCACAACCTTAAAACCAGCGACCGTTGAAGTGAACAACATTGATCAGTTCATTTAAATGCAGCACTCTTCTGGGAAACCTTGGGCTCTGACATTCATATGGATTTTACTTTGACTTGAACTGCTTACCTAACCTTTGTTCCCGACTAAGCACACCCCACCATTGCAACAACATTCCCCAACAACTGCAACCTTCCCAAGCTGTATAATTTACCCCCGTGATATAAAAACTCCTCAGGAATGGGTGAAGAACACAACAAAGACAAAAGTTCCCAGATACTTATCTGATGATGAATCAGTGGAATTCTCCAGAATGAGCCACAAATTCACAGGAGATACACTCTAAAGAAGCCAGGCACCAGAGGACACCCAGCCTCAGACACCCCATGTCCATATCTGGACAGGTTAGATTTGCTTTTGCAGATCAAGTGGAACCCAGTGCTAGGCAATTAGATTCATTGTTATGGCTAATCTGATATAAATTTAAGAGGCACAAACAAAAAGTTCCACTTCTCCATAAAAAAGCAAAACCTAGTTAAGTAAGTTATTAAGTTCTTTTGATGTTTTGCACTACTTACAATGCTCCTACTCCATTTATCATATCAAGTAGCCAACTCATGTAGGTAAGTAATAATGGTGGTAAGTGACAAAAAACTGCTATGTACACATTGCAACACAAGCCGGATTATTTGTGCCAAATGCTTCCCCTTAAACACTTCAGAATGTAAGCGAAAAGTCTGAACCTGGAGTTACACAGTACATGAAACAAAAGATAACCATGACTCTGGTCATGCTCCTGACCTGATGTACCACCTATTTGGACATTATATTCCCTTCTACTACTGACTGCTGCTTAGTCACTTGGCTCTATCTGACCCATCTCTAATCATTGTTATTTACATTTTGAACAGATCTAGTTCCTTAATCCAGAAAGAATACCACAGGAGATTGAGATATTAATTGTAGGATATGTTTACCTGGCTGCAGAACTAGGGCAGCCACACATCTATAAGTTATAAAAGTTATAAGTTATTTTTGAACTGCCAAAAATATTATGCTTATCCATTTATTCAGATAAAATATTTTCTAATTTAATATCAGCTCACTGACTTTTATATGGCTGCAAATACAAGCAAACATAGTATAGAAAGACTCCAGATAAAGGCTTCAAGGCTACCTGTAGACTTTCTTCTTTATCTTGCAAATCACAATCGCTAACATTAACCCATTGAACCCTTCCTAATAGCAAAGCAGATATAATCTAAAAATATAATATAGAGTAAGTTTGCCACTAAACTTCGTCTATAAGTTACACGACAAAAGCAAAAATATATTTAAAAAAACAAACAAACAAACAAAAAAAGCAGGTTGCCGGATTCTAGTGCTGGAGAAGATCGAACATTTATGGGGAGATTCACCACATAGAGCAATCTGATCACTTAATAAACTGGATTTTCACACAAAGAAAAAAAATACTTGCCAAGCTCTCTTTTTGCCACCTCAGTGCATTGTATTTCATTTTATCTTGTTGCATGGAAAGCAAGTGCTTTGAGAGCAGATGTACCTGATCCTTTTGCCAACTTGACCAGGCAACTCAAAGCCATATGAGCTCCAGAGCCCCATGCTCTGGTATAATTTAAAGCAGAAACTACATCTCTCTACCACTCTTTTTCATTCATTTCAAATCTCTGAGATATAAAAAAAAATTACCCATTAGTAATAGCTGGGGTAGGACCTACTTTGGGAGAGCAAGAGCTAAAGCATCCACAAAGATCCACTTTGTTGTATGTATTGATTTTCTGTGTGCATGCAATTCACATGCAGTTCCAGACATCAGAATGATATTGCATCTGTGGTTAAAATGACACATTTCCTGCTTCAATATTTAGAACACATGTAAGGGAATAAGTGTACTTGTCCTGATACTGCATCCATTGTGACTGAGTGACTGAATTGCAGGAACTCTCTCACTGCCAGCTCTACTTTCCACTATTCATTTTTTCCCTTCCAACACTCTATTTTTTGGTTCATTGGCTTAATTTCCCTCTGCTGGAGTATAGAGGATGTGAAGAAAAATCTTCAAAGGGTTTAGATGGTGTGTTCCACAGATTCATTGGCTGCACTGAATATTTAGTGTCACATGCAGATGCAGATGGAAAAAACGTGTGCATACAGTTACTAGAGGGTTAAAAACATCCACGCATACCACTTATTTACACTTTATGTTTGTTACGATTTGGGGGTCAAATTATATATCCTAGAAGTATATATATATATA